GTGACTCTGCTCACCCAAGAGCGCGATTATCCGCGTGACTCATCCAGCCCGCCCTCCCTCGCATACGCACGCAGAGGCCGGGCTGTGCCCGTGGGGCCTCTTGCAGGGTTGGGGATAGGGGCCGGGTGACGGGGGGCTAGGAGTCTCAGGAGCTCCTGGAAGGGTCTGCTATGGAGTAAAAAGGCCAGGATGGGCACGTAGTTACAGTTTTGATAATGGAAAGAGCAAGGAAGGGAGTTAAAGGATTCCAGATTTACTTGCGGGGAGTGGGAGCGCAAGGAGGAATCCAGGCGCAGAGATACCTTTCACCAGGAATCTCAAAGCTCTTTACAGGCTACGCACTCGCACTCTCAGTTTGAAGATGAGAAAAATGAGTCATAAAGAGGTGAAGCGGCGAGGTAAAGGTCACAGGACAACTCGCTCCCTTCAGTTTAGGTTTCGAGCTGGCCAGTCCACTCAGAGGGACTTTGCTGGGAGGTGACCGTGTGCTGGGAAATGGAGCACTGCGGTGGGACCCTAGTTCTCTAAAAGTGGCACCCAGGCCCTTGGCCCACCGGGAGGGGAAATGGCAATCGGTCTTTATTTCGGTCTTGTAACTCCTTTTCCCATCCCCACTACCTTCCTAGTGCGTGATCAGTAATTTTCCAGCCGGAATATGTTTTCGCCCTCATCTCTACAAACAGTACTTAAAAAAAAAAAGTAAAAAAAAAAAAAAAAACCCAAACCAAAACGTGAGTGTGGTGTTAAGAATCACTTGCTAATGAAGACTGGGTGTTTACTTTGGATTTGGGCGCACATAGTTGGGCTCCACCGCCCTCAAGGTTGAATCTCCTCGCTCCTGGCGGAGTCACTTGAAGGCAGGGGGTTCAGGAAGATAAGAAAGGGACTTAGGAAAGGTTCGGTGCTCCAGCACAGACAGTGTGTGCACTCGCTCCTCTCCTGCCACGTCTGTCGTCTGTCGTTTCACCTGTTTGAGTCCGGAATCCTGGGACCTGTATTAGTTTTCTTCGGAATATTTGTCATGCTGAATTTTCCTCTTCTGGCCGACCACAGAGGCGTTCTTGGAATGCATCTCGTCCCAGTGAAATGAGGCTGCCCAGTCTGTAAAAGGGAGATTCAAGCTGGGCGTCTTTTTATTCCTTCGCTTGGTTTTGGCAGAGGGCTGGGAGGGCTTTCGGGATAGGGGGTGGGGAAGAGCACGACTTCTCCTGGAAATGGAGCCCCTCCCTCGTGTGACCTCGAGGGGTTCAACCCCACTCCCACGGGACTAAGCCAGTTTAACTCTGAAAACATTACTCTTTCAAATGAAAGAACAACATCAAGAACACCTGTCCCTCGCCTCCCCCCCCAACTCTGTCATTGTGATGGCAAAAACGACTTGGAACGCTAGGGCTGAATACTACTTGGAAAGAGTCAATTTAAAGCCAAGGTCCCAAACCCTTGATGAACTTGGATGAGCTTGTGTTTGACTGCCCCCACCCTCAGGATGTAAACAAGTAAGGGCTTGGAATTTACGACTTGAGTAGTCAGTCAGGGCTCTAGGTTGTTTCAGCTGCATTTTTATTTACCTAGGACAGTAGCCCTTCCCCCCTCTGAAGCTCTCACCAGTAACCACCACAATGAAAAAAACAATATTTCACAGATGAATTGGAAAGTCACTATTATTATGTCATATAATCAAGGCAAGACTCTGAAACTCAACTGAAAAAGATGAAGTTTCCCAACAGCTTTCTGGAGTATAAAAGCCAGCAGGCAACTCTCGGGTTATTCTTGAGATTGCATCATAGGAGGAAATCTGTATATTCATCCCAGATTTCTGAAAGAGCTATGAAGTTCCAGCTGAGAGCTCACCTCCTTTCAAGGCAGGTGCCGGGTGTGACAACAGGGTTATGACCCTCCCTCTCTTCAAAACAGGTAGGGCCAGAAGAGTTAAATCCCTGCCCTATATAATTTATAAACATGAGGCTGTGTAAACCTTTGATGACTAAATTGCACTCTAAAATAATAATAATAGAAGACACCCTTTAAAGAAGAATTAAATACTGGTGACTTTATTTCAGCAAACTCATATTACAAGTTTTGTGGTATGGAAGTTAATTATTGATGTCCTCGGAGCTTTAAAATAATTTTTTTTTTCCAGCACAAACTGCAGTAGTTGGCAGATGATGTGATGGGAATGGCCAGTGCTGGGGGGAATGAATGCTGCACTGTAGAGTAGTGTGAGAGGCTGAGATGACTGGATGTTTCAAGTGCAGGACTCTGATCTATAGCAGGGCACAGGTCTAGGCACATGGAGTATCTGGGCACCTGTACGCTGGCCTGTGTTTTCTTTACATAGCAGCCAATAGGACCTAGGTATTTTTTAAAAATTGTACAGAGCCTCGGTGTTGCCCAGTCTGGTCTGGAACTTATTATATAGCCCAGTCCGGCCTTGAACTCATTACAGTTCTGCTCATGAAGCTGGGGTCATAGAAACCAGTTACCAGGCCCAGCAAAACCTGCTTTTTTGTTTGTTTATTTTTGTTTTGTTTTTGGTACTGGGAGTTGAACACTAGGCCTAACATGAACAAGGTGAGCATTCTGCCACTGAGTTATATCCCTGGGTTAATAGCTATTTGCTCTTAAAGACAAAAGGAAGGGTGGCTTCAGGTCCCAAGTGACTGTTGTAAAATTCAAGTGTGAGGACTTGAACCCTTGAAAGGTACCATAGTCATTTTCAGTTTTGCTGTCTTGTAAAGGCCACTCCCATTTAAGTGTCACCATCTGTTTTGTTTTTGATACTTGGTCTTGCTATGTTCCCCAGACTGGCCTTGAACTTCTGGGATCAAGCATTCCTCCTGCCTTAAGCTCTTGAGTTTCCGGAATTGCAAGCATGTACCACCAACCTCCTCATGCTTGGTGTGACCTTCAGACTTCTGCAGAGGTTAAGAAAGTGGGTTTCAAAAGTTGGGCGTGATGGTACATGCCTGCAATCCTGTATTGGAAGGCTGAGGCAGGAGTATCTAAAGATAGAAGACCAGACTGGCTTTCATAGTAACATGTTGTTTTGGGAGGGGGGTGGGAAAGGAAGATAGCTTCAACACTACATTTTCCAATTTAACTTTGCTGGTTTGTAGCTTGGCAAGTGACCTCACTTTGCCCATTTCCTTTTCTGTAAAATGGGGATATTAATAGCAGTCACTTCTTAGAGTAATGAGGATCTAATTAGATCATGTAAGAAGTGAGCTTAAGACTTGACACTCAGGACTTAATAGGTTTTAATATTACTAGTATTCTCCAGGCACCATGCATTTCAGATAGCTGGGGACCATTGTTTTATCCACTGCTGTATCTCCAGCTGCTCATTTAGTACCTGCCTGACACATGGTTGTGCTCTGAGTACAGCTGAATGAATGAGTAATGCACTTTCCCTTTATGAAGTCTATTAACAGGAAGCTGGTCTTTCAGCTCATTAGCTGCCTGTCTTCAAAATCAGTCCTCTCAGACTCTTACAACTTCTCTCTTTCCAGCTTCCTATAGTGAGCCCTGGGTTTCCTTCAAGTTCTTGCCCACCTTGTCCTAAGCATGCAGGCATTCTCAGAGATTGGCAAATTTGGTTCCTAAATTGCTCACTGTTTTCTAACCTCCTGGCTACTGTGGTTCAGCTTCCATTTTGGGTGTAGTCTCCAGATTGGCCCCCTTTTCTTTTTGAATCCAGGGTGTTCTGTATTCCAGGCTGGCCTCCTGGAACTCTCTAGGCAGCAGAGGTAGAAAAGGGTGACCTTGAACTTCTGACCCTCTTACTGTCACCTGAGTGCTGGGATTATAGGGGTACATCACTAGACTTTGTTATGTTTGTTTGGTGCTGAGAATGGAAGCCAGGACTTCATGTGTACTAGGCAAGCACTCTACCAACTGAGCTACATCCCAAGGTCTGTCAACAGCCATCTTTGCCTAGAGAAGCAAGACCTAACTGCTTACCCCTGGCTAGACCAAAACTTCCTACTCTTGCCCTAGATAAACTTTCCAGAATCCTCCCTGGAGACCAGTCCAAGATCCTTAAAGTTTCAACTCTCAAACCCATGAATTCATGATGTCTGTTTCTATCAGCTGATTTGCCTGTCTTGGAATAGCCTCTGTGCTGGGCTCTAATAGACAAAATCCAAAATTGTTATTTAAAAAATATTCATTTCTTTTCCGAATATGTATGTATGTATGTATGTATGTATGTATGTATGTATGTATGTATGTGTGGTACACATATTAGAAGTCAGAGGACAACTTTCCAGTGTTGGTTCTTCCCTCCTAGTATTTAGGTCTCAGGGATTGAACTCTGGGTGCTTGACTTGGCAGCAAGCTGCTCTCACTCTGAGCCTTCACTGGTCTTTAGATCTTGTCATACCTTTCTCTACAGTCCAGTGTTGGCAGGGTACGACTTAACTTTTCATCCTTTTATTCCTCTACCCACTTATTTTTTCTTTTATAAAGTTCTGTGATCGAGTGAAAAAAATCCTTGAC